CTGACGACGATGACAGTGCTGGTGACGATCATGAGGATGATGCCGATGCCGCTGGTGACGATGATGACGACTACGGGGCGAATGGGTTTGGAGCGGCGACGACATGGACCAGGACAAGGACGGTGACGACGACGATGAGAACGGCAGGAGCGGCGAGGAAACTTACACAACGAAGGATGGCGTCTAGGAGGATGACGGCAAAAGGCTGGAGGACGACGATGATGTGGGCGATGGAGGCGACCGGTCGTGCGTAGGAGGACCTGACAAGGACGAGCGGCCAACGCCCCCCGTCGCAACTCTGACTATCCTTATCCTTCCCCGTATCCGTACCCTCCTGCTGCTCCACCCCTGCCTCCTCCTCCTGCCCTCCTCCTCCTCCTCCTCCTCCTCCTCCTCCTCCTCCTCCTCCTCCTCCTCCGCCTCCTCCTCTCCTCCTTCCCTCCTCCCTCCTCCCTCCTCGCTCCTCCTCCCTCCTCCCTCCTCCTCCTCCTCCTCCTCCTCCTCCTCCTCTCCTCCTCCTCCTCCTCCTCCTCCTCCTCCTCCTCCTCCTCCGCCGCCTCCTCCGCCTCCTCCGCCTCCTCCCTCCTCTCCTCCTGCCCGTCTCCTCCTCCTCCTCCTCCTCCTCCTCCTCCTCCTCCCTCCTCCTCCTCCCTCTCCTCCTCTGCTTCTCCTCCTCCTCCTCCTCCTCCTCCTCCTCCTCCTCCTCCCTCCTCCTCCTCTTCCCTCCTCCGCCTCCTCCGCCTCTTCCGCCCCCTCCGCCCCTCCCCCTCCTCCTCCTCCTCCTCCTCCTCTCATCCTCCTCCTCCTCTCCTCCTCCTCCTCCTCTTCCTCCTCCTCCTCCTCCTCTCCTCCTCCTCCTCCTCCCTCCTCTCCTCCTCCTACTCCTCCTCCTCCCTCCTCCTCCTCTTCCTCCTCGTCCTCCTCGTCCTCCTCGTCCTCCTCTCCTCTCTCCTCTCTTCTCCTCCTCCTCCTCCTCCTCCTCCTCCTCCTCCTCCTCCTCCTCCTCCTCCTCCTCCTCCTCCTCCTCCTCCTCAGATTACCCTACATATTATTGTCCGTGTCGCCATGTGCATCTTAGTATCATCCCCCTCCCCATATAACCTGTATCCTGGCAGCGGCCAGGCCCTGGCAGCAACCTGGCGTCCTGAGCATGCGACGACAGACTCAGCGCCTGGCAACAAGATTGTCCAATGAGAGCGGCAGCACGGCAGCAGCGTGAGAATACCGAGGTTCCCTCCTCCCGCTTCGTCATTCGTCCTCCCTGGTCCCCTTCCCTCCTCCACCCCCATCACACCTCTCCCTGTGCCCCCCCACCGCCCGTCCATCCCCTTTCCCTCCCTCAACCCCAGAGCCTCCCAACACCCTAACCCATCAGCCCACCCAGCCCGCCCCTCCCTCATTCCCTCTCCGCATCCCCCCCCCCCGCAAGGCTCTTTACCCTGAGACCCCTAAGAATATGGACGCCCCCGCCCCCCTTGCGCGGGGGCAGTTCCCGCCCGCGCAAGTCCAAGAAGGGGGTGGGGGGGCAGGATGACATGTTGCGCGCGCGCAGATCCATGTACGGACCCATTGGAGGACATTGTCTGCGTAAGCCTCACGAACAAGCACGCGGCCAAACGACCCTGGATTTGAGTGCGGTGGCAACCGCGAGCCGTGAACCCACGCCGAGCAGCACCGACAAGCCATACCTCGGGAGCACGGCGGCCGCGCTGAGAAAAACGCACGCCCCGCAGCGCCCCGAGCGGGCATACCGCAAACTCGCGAACGCGACTCTCATGGAACGGAGCGGCCGAGAACGCCAGGATCACACAGATTACGATGAACGTGTGAGCACGCGCTTGCTCACACTCGCGCACCTAAGGAACACCAGCACAGGTCAAAAACGCTTGTGAATGCGACGCGCGGAGTGGAGCGGCCGAGAACGCCAGGATCACACAGATTATGATGAACGCGTAGGCACGCGCTTGTTCACACTCGCGCACCTAAGGAACACCTGCACCTAAGGAACGCCTGCACCTAAGGAGCACCTGCAGATGTCAAAACACTTGCAAAAAGCCTGCTGGCCCGAGGCGCCCAATGGGTTCATCATGCGCGCTTGGCACGCACTGCCTCCGAGACGCCAGGGCCGGGGCGGCGCGCGCGCGAGAAGGAAAACGGCGGGAGGAGAGCGGGGGGCGCGCGCACGGGCGTCTTGCGCGGGGCAAGACCGCGCGCACCGATACTGCGCGAGCAGGCGGGCCGGCGCGTCGGAGCGCGCGGGATCGACAGTAGACGACACCTGTGCATGAGCACAGGGAGGAGGCGCGCGTTGCCCAGATTAAACCACAATCCTCAGATTCGCACCCGATCCCGCTGACACCCGAATGATGAGACCCGAACGCGAACGCCCAAATCGGCCCCCTCAACAGCGTAGCACTCTGGCCCAAACTCTAACATCGTAGCACCGCAACCCTTGACCTGGCCCCACACAAAACCGAACCACAGCCCACACGCTACCGCATATGATGCGGATGAAGGGGGACAATGAGAAAGGGGAGGAGGAGGAGTAGGAGGATGACAGTGTGATGATGGCGACGCTCATGAGGAAGCTGAGGTGATAACGACGACGATGACGGTAGTAATGATAACGATGGCGCTGAAGATGAGTGGCCAAGGACGGGGGGGGGCGGGAGACATCCACGGATGAGTACAAATTGGAGGGCAAGTCTAGTGCCAGCAGCCGCGGTAATTCCAGCTCCAATAGCGTATATTAAAGTTGCTGCGGTCAAAGAGCTCGTAGTTGGATTTCTGCCGAGAACGACCGGTCCGCCCTCTGGGTGAGCATCTGGCTCGGCCTGGGCATCTTCTTGCTACTGGGGGTGGGTGCATGGGGGGCCAATCGCGGCCAGTCCGTGCGAGGTCCTGGGGCCGACCGCGCGAGGCGGACCTCGGCGCCACGTGCCAGCTGGGAGGGGGCCGCGGGGGAAGCATGATGGATGGATGCGCGGGATTCCGTGGTCGGCTGCACGTAAGAGTGACCCTGGGTAAGAGTGACCTTTGGTGCGCGGCTTTTCGGGGGGCGCGAGGAGACCAAACACAAGCGCGCAAGACGCTACTATCGCAACGAGCGCGGCGATCGGGGGACCCCAGTGAGCGCGCACCAGAGGTCACTCTGGCGAAGGGTCACTCTTACGTGTAGTCGACGTGGGAGGCCACGCGAGCCAGGCGCCCGGGGCCGACCCCAGCAGACCAGAGCTGGCGCCATGGAGTACAGGTAAGAACCCCACAGTGCAAGCGTCGCTCGGGTGGTAAGCGACGCAGGCGCACCAACACTCACAGGCCTGCACACTCTCGGGCTCACTCGTATCCAGGCTCACTCACACTCGGACTCACTTACGCCCAGCCCGTTCATACTGCGGCACTCGCATTCAAAGCTCACCGCGACTTAGCAGGCATTGCATCTGGGCACCCAAAGGGGATGCCGCCATGGGGCGTTGCACGGGCCCGTTCAATGCCAGGCTGTGGACTTGTCTCGATCAAGGCGCCTGTTAGCAACTAGTTACGGCCGCCAGTGTCATCTTGGTTGCATCTGGTGCGTTGCTAATACGAGTGTTCGACCGAAGCATGTATCGGCTGCCAGCGTGTGCAATTGCACTGCACGCGCGCAGGGGGAGGCGCACATCGCTCTCTTGAGCTGGACGGCCTGGCACACTGAGGCGGGCGTGCCGAGCCGAACTGCTCCTGCGCTGCGCAGTCTGGCACGTCCGAAGATCCCCAGGAGGGGGCGGCAGGCCTCTGTGTTCACATGGGGGGTGGGGCACAAGCTGCTGTACCATGTCCAGAGATCCTCGCCAACCCAATATCTGTTCATGAAGGCAGGGGCGGGGGCGGGGTTCCCGTCAGCGATTTCGCAGGGCATTCGAGGGCATGCTCCCGCACTTGACTGTTTCGCAATCTACCAATGCGTGCGACCCTGGTGGGAGGCGGCCCATGCGGATGTGTCCTATCAGCTTGGGGGATGGTTATCATGGTTTCATGGGTGCCTTGCTTATTATTTTGGGCCACCATGTCAGTTGCTTTCACACAACGCTGTTGCGAGGAATTGTTTACCCCGCATTTGCTAAACCTGCGCGTGGCAGTTGAAGCGTTCTGCGTTGTTACTGCAAGTTTGTGCTGGGAGCTAGAAGTGGTCGGTAGCCTCTCATGTCCTTGCTTGCACTTTATGCAAAAGGCTGCGTGCCACTCTCGGAACGCACGGGGCTTGTTTGAAGCATGTCCATGCGATGTATTGTTGGTGGCTTCCGAAAATATGCAACAACAAATCATGCATCATCAACAGTTTGGTAGTTGTCCGATTGCGCACTTGAGGCCAACTGTAAGGGGCGGCGCCTCTCTCAAGCCCAGCATCACATCGAGTCGGATTTCGACCCTCGGCGCTCACAGCCTGCTAGATCCACAAGCGGGGCTCCAGGAAGGCCTCGTGTGGCCCTCCGAGCGGCGGGAACTCCTGCACCGACCGTTCCCGGGGAGCCACTGTTTGGACGCCCGAAATGGGTACGGAAAAATTGGTACAATGCCCAACAGCAACTGCTGCCCCAAACCAAGAGCGGCCGCTGTTGGGCAGGTGGCCTTCTGTCTCGAATGGGCACAGGCCGCGGCGGCGTGGACAGCGAGTCCTGTTCCAAATGAACAGACTCCGCTGTTGGGCATTGTACCCCAGATTTCGTAATAAAAGGGAGGGGGTCTCATTTCGGGTGGGTCTCTTCCAGGCTATCTTGGAGAGCCTGGGGGGATCTGGGGACGATGTTTTGGAGGGTTCCCCCACGGGGGGGGGGGTTAAAACTTCTCGTCTGGGAGGGTTGAGACCCCCTCCCTTTTATTATGAAATCTGGAGTACCCGTTCTTTCCGCGCCCATTTCGTTCGTGCAGACACTGGTGCACATCCCAAGCTGGCTGGCCAGACCCGAGCAGCAGCCGCTCCCACCGCGACTGCGGCGGCCGCGAGCGGGCTGCCCCGCCGCCTCCCCAGCAGCTTGCACAGCTCGGCGTTCCGCAGGTACCGCCGCCCGAGTTCCCAGCTCTCCTGGCCCGGGCGGGGCGCTCCTCTCCCTTCCCCCGCCCCTCCCACTTCTTCCTGCCCCCCCCCTCCCTCCTCCTCCTCCTCCTCCTCCTCCTCCTACTCCTCCACCTCCTCCTCCTCCTCTCCTCTTCCTCTTCCTCTTCCTCTTTCTCTTCCTCTTCCTCCTCCTCCTCCTCCTCCTCCTCCTCCTCCTCCTCCTCCTCCTCCGCCTCCTCCTCTGCCCCCCCCTCCCTTCCCCTGCTTCTGGGCACGGTGCGGCGCGGACTCCTGTGCAGGAGCGGGACTTTCGTGCGTCCGTTGCGGGTGGCGTCGGGATGGGACCCCGCGCCTCGGAGTTCCCGCTGTGGGGCTCAGCGGGGGTTCTGCAGGGGCGACTCCGCGGGGGCCGACTCAGTTCGGACCCTCGGATCGCTTGTCCTGCCTGCTTTCGGCTCGCCATCCCGCCGGCCGCGACGAAAAGTCCACGTGTGCCACTGGTCCCGGGGAACGGGTCGAGACCCTCTGGGCGAGCACGCTGCGAACAAGTCATGGCGCTGGGGGTCTGGGTCAGTGAAGGGGCCCAAGGACACACACACACACAAAGAAATACACACGAATAACATAATTCCCATAATGTCATGTATATTCTGGGTTTTTTGTCTGTCCCCCCACTTCCCATATTTTCCCATGTTTTCTGGGGAATCGAGGATTAATTGTGTCTGTGTGCTTCTTTTCCTCCTGGGTCCGGCGCGCTTGGGCGAGCGGCGGGCTCTCCACTCCTCTGGCCCCGCACCCGCGGGGCAGGCGTCGCGCGCGGACCGGGGACCGAGCTCGGGCCTTGCATGCAGGGCCAGGAGCTGTCCGTATCCATCGCCGGGGGGGGGGCGATGTCCTGGGACGCTAGAGAGGGCCAGTGGATATGTACACATGTAGGGCTGTGGGTACACACATGCATGTATCTGTGAACACATACGTCATATATGGATACGACTGCGCATGTACATGTATGTGTAAATATAAATAAATAGCTCTACATGGCTAAATGTATGTACTATCCCTGGAGGTGTCTTCGGAGGTCGCAGCCCTGGGAGCCAATGATGCGGGGCAGCTCGATTCATGTAAGGGCTGCCAGGGTCAGACAAAGCCGTCTTGAGCGTGGCAGTAGGGGAAACTAAGGCCGCATTGACGCAGCGGGGAGGAGGGAGGAAAAGAGGAAGCAGGTCCGCCAGGGCACCCGTCGGCGGTGGAACGGGAGAGGGAGGAGAACCAAGAGCAGGAGAGAGATCAAGGAGAACGGACAGCGACGGATGGGGAAAACGGAAACGCACTCTGGGGCACGCCAAAGCCTGGGACAGGAGGGACCGGGTGGGGGGGCATCGACCTTGGGAAAAAAAGATTTGAGGGAACTCTGTTTTCCCAACCGTCCTGTGGTGTTGGGTCCTCGTTTTGGAACGAGATCCCCGCGACTCCTCCTTTCCTCTCCTCTTCCTGCTCCTCCTCCTCCCTCCTCCCGTCACCCCCGTCATCTTGGCACGCCACTCACATTTTTCGTAGCCCCATAAGGAGCTCCACCGAAGGCCCACATGCCAGCGCTCGCACCCGCCCACCGCACCCATTTGGCACACACACACACAAACACACCTATCACATTTCGTGGCCCCATATGAGACCTCCACCGAAGGCCCACATGCCAGCGCTCGCGTGCGCCAACCGCACCCATTTGGGCACACCCCTCACACGTGTCGTGGCCCCATTGGGAGCTCCACCGAAGGCCCAAATACCACAACTTCCACGCGCCCACCGCACCCATTTTGGCACACCCCTCACACGCTTCGTGGCCCCATAGGGAGCTCAACTATGCCAGCGCTCGCATGCGCCCACCGTGCCCATTATGCCAGCGCTCGCCTCGCACGTGCCCACCGCACTCATTTTGGAACACCCCTCACACGCTTCATGCCCACATTAGGAGCTCTACCGACGGCCCACATGCAAGCGCTCGCATGCGCCCACCGCACTCATTCTGGCACACTCCTCACACGCTTCGTGGCCCCGTAGGGAGCTCCGCCGACGACCCAAGTGCCAGCGCTCGCATGTGCTCACCGTACCCATTTTGGCACGCCCCTCACACGCGCGGCCCCATAGGGAGCTCCACCGAAGGCCCGAATGCCGGCGCTCTCATGCGCCCACCGCAACAGTCGTGGCACACCCCTCACTTCGTGCCCCCTAGCGAGCTCCAGCGACGGCCCACATGCCAGCGCCCGCACGCGCCCACCGCGCTCCTTTTGGCACACTCCTCGCACGCCTCGTGGCCCCCTTGGGAGCTCCACCGAAGGCCCACATGCCAGCGCCCGCAGGCGCCCGCCCACCGCGCCCATGTTGCATGCACCCAGCGCGCCGGGCGCCCTCGCTCGAAACGCCCTCGACAAATCCCCGGGCCCACAGGCCCCCGGCGCACCCCCATTACCAGCCTCGAACTTATCCCTATCCCTAAGATTGACACGCCAAAAGGCGATGGCAATTTTAGGGATGCGTCCTCAAAAAATAAGGGAATCCCTAAGATTGGCATCGTGATGAGGAGATGCCCAACATAGGGATAAGGATATGTTCCAGACTGGTAACCCCAGGAGTCATGTCCAGGGATGCGCTGGGCGCGCCAGGCGCATCCCGATCTGGCGGTCTCGCCTGAGACCTCCTCGCAGAGCTCCACCACGGGCCCCCGGCGCGCGCGGGGGGGGGACTTTTGCGAGGATGTCTCGAGCGAGAGTACCCCCACCCAGGATCATTTTGGCGGCGCGCACAAGGGGGCGGGGGGAGGGGGGAGGGCTTCTTAGCAGGAGGCTGCTTCTTAGAAGGCGCCGGCCTTACATCTATATAGACAAGGCCGGCGCCTTCTAAGAAGCAGGGGTGCTTCTAAGAAGCCCTCCCCCTCCCCCCACCCCCCTCTGCGCGTGGCTGAGGCTAATCATTTCCGGGGATGCACCGGGCGCGCCGGGACGGGCGTGTCCCAATCCAGCGCTCTCGCTCGAGACAGCCTCGCCAGCATCCCCAAGGGCACCCGGCGCGCGCCCTATTGGACAATTTTCTGGGGACGCACCGGGCGCGCTGGGCGCACTGGGCGTGTCCCAACTGGCACTCTCGCTCGAGAAATCTTTGCAAAATCGCCCCGAAGGTCCCTGCCGCGCCCCCAGGAAGAAGGAGGAGGAGGAGGAGGAGCAGGAAGAGGAGGGGGACGAAGAGGAGGAGAAGGAGGAGGACGAGGACGAGCACGAGGAGGAGCAGGATGAGAAGGGGGAAGACGAAGGAGGACGGAGGAGGGAGGAGGGAGGAGGGAGGAGGGAGGAGGGAGGGGAGGAGGAGAGAGCGAGAATGTGGATGATGATGATGATGATGATGATGATGATGATGATGATGATGATGATGATGATGATGATGATGATGATGATGATGATGATGATGATGATGATGCTGAGGAGGAGGAGGAGGAGAAGAAGAAGAAGAAGAGGAGGAGGAGGAAGAGGGATGACCTCCAGGGACCTCCAGCCTCACCCTCCTGCCTGACGATCTTGATCCTCATCCTCCTCATGCTCATTCTAATCAGCATGATCCTCGATCTCCTTGTGATGCTCACTCGGCCGATCCTCACTCTGCTGATCCTCCCTGTCCTGCTCCACACTCGCCCGATCCTCACCCTGCTGATCTTCATTTTCCTCAAATTCGCTCTCCTGACCCTCACTCTCCACATCCTCACCTTCCTACTCCCACGCTCGCCTGATCCTGACCCGCGTGACCCTCACTCTCCTGATCCTCCCCCTCGCGAGCCTCGCCCTCCTGATCCTGACCCTCCTCATCCTCACCCGCCGCACCACCGCTACCCGCTCCTCCACCTCTCGCCCACAAGCGGACGCTCCTTCTTCTGTATGCAGAAACTCCCGATCAATTGCAAAGCGGCCTGCTAGTATGGAATCATTGTGGAGGAGGGGGACGAGGCAGAGGGCTGGGTGGGAGAACAACAAGAAAGGGGAAAGGGGGAGGAGGAGGGAGAGAAGGGAAAGGAGGAGAGGAGGGAATGGGGAGAGGAGGGGAAAGGGAGGGTGGAGAGATGAAGCGGACGCGTAGCAACCGTGCACGTCGATACGCCCTCCCTATCGCATGGCGGCTGGCCCGATGGGGCGGTACTGCGAGTTCCCGTCGTTGGTGTAAATGTCGCTGTCTGCTGTCGTGCACGTATTCCCACGAAAGCCTGCGAGCGAGAACCATGCGACGCGACGCCAGCCCCTCCAGGAACGCAATGTGGCGACTGCCCGCTTCTCCCCCAGCGGCCGACCAGAAACGAAGTCCTCAGGATTGCACCCGGAAGCGCCTCTGGTCGAGGGCAGGCAAGCGAGGACGAGGACCCGCAAGACCCGCGCGATGCTCCGAAAGCGTCGACCGTCCGCGCCCCATGGCAGCCTGCAGAGTCGTCTCAGCTGGCCCCGCGCTGGTGCTCTGGCGCCCTCCTCCGCGCCCGACCCGCGCCGAGCGCCTCCAGCAGGTCTGCTGCCGAGCGGGGCGCGAGCCGCAGGGCGCCGCCGCCGCCCGCCGCCCCCGCCGCGGCCGCGGGCAGCGGCGGCGGCACCCCGCGCGGGCCTGCGCCCGCCGGGCGCGGCCGCGGCAGCCGCGGCGGAGCCCCCGCGCGCCGCTGCCACCGGAGGAGCGCCCGCGCCGTGGCGCCGGCAGCCCCCGCTGCCGACTGCGGCAGCCCGCCGGGCGCGGCGTCGACGGCCATGGGCCCCAGGGGGGAGGGCCTCGCGCTCTCGGGCGCCGCCACGGCCGGCCCCCGCCGCAGCCCGTGCCGCTCCCGCGCGCCCGCCGCCGCCGCGCGGTTGGCCGCGCTGCCTCGAGCGCCGTGCGGCGCCGCCGCGGCGAGCGCCAGGGCGGCGCGCCAGCGCCCGGCGCGCTCGCAGGCGCCGACGGCGATGCCCACGCTGGTGGAACACACGCTGGCGGCGCTGCCACCCAGATCCTGGAGCAGACATGCCGCCCTCTCCCACTGCGCGCCCAT